AGGATTTCAGATACTTCTCAAAGTCCTGACTTGGGTTACTACAAGACACCATACTTGTCACTGATTCCAAAGCCAGCATGCAGCCTTGTAAGAGTAAATGTGGAGTTCCCCACAGCCTGAGCTCTGAGTTAACTCACTGTGGGGCAAGACTGGTATCTGAGGCGGAAGTCAGAGGTGCACAGGAAAGAGGTTCACAACCTCAGTGCAGTTCAAGAGAACTCCAGGCAGCATGGAAGCAAGAGAAACCAAAGTTTCATTTTGAGTAACCACTTAAACAAACTGCAGGTGAAAAGGCTTTATAGAGGTCACCAGCAATACCCCAAAGCAGGAGTGAGGGCAGAAAAGCTTTAGAGATGCCTGGAAGCAAAAGTCGGTAAGTGCAGAGCCAGTAAGTGCAAAGAGGGAACTCCTACCAGCAGGAGGGGTACGAGGTGTTGTCAGCAGTAGGTGCCAGGGGAAAGCTGCTTTTAGGCTTGGGAGAGAATGAGTCATAGAAGCACTCTGAGCACCTCTGGGTTCTGAACACCACTCATCTGCTGTGGAGTTAAAGGAACAGAGGTTTAAGAGATCAGCCAGCCTGCAGGGCTCCACGGCCTTTGGAAAAGAATGCTGCTCTGGCAGTACTGGAAAAGGGCACACAGACACCCTATGGCTTTGGGACAGGGGTAGAAGACTGCATGCCACACAGTAAGCACAGAAACGGAAAAGTGACATTTGGGAAGCAGGGGATGGGGTACACACCATTTGTAGCTGCTGTGAAAAATTCCAGCAAGTTTTTTCTATAGTCAATATTTCACTAGAGAGTAAGCATGCTACAGCTCACAATGGACTCCAGGAGGCTGCTGAGGGTGGATACTTGCCCTAAGCCAGCATCTAAATCACACTTATGTTGGAAGGAAAAGCAACTTGCTTTTGGGTATTCCATGGAGATCCATCAACACATCTTTGCATCCAGACAAACAACCAACAACAAAAAAATAGGTGCTTGGCCCTGAGCAAGTCCTGACTTATCCAGGACATGGTTTGAGGACACAGCAGAGCCTCAGTGCTGTTTTAAACAAATCCCTTGCTGTGCCTGTACACCTAGAGCGGGTCACTTGTTATGCAAAATCATCTTCTCATCAGTTCTCAGACCTGCTGGTAGCATCACACTGTAGACAACATGTTTAAATTTTATTACAATTCAAAAGCCAGGACAAAGTCTGAAACCACTTTACTCCCTGCTCTCTGCTCTCAATAATAGGTTCTTCACACACAAAAAATTCAATACATCTGCCACTAAGTAAGACTCGCACAACGTAGTCTCAAGTGCCCTGAACACATATTAATGACATTTGCAAGTTTCAAAGAGGCCTAGCAAAGCTCAGTTTCAAGGAAAAGACAGTCCAGCTATTTTAGAATCCTGCACTCTAGCTGATAGCTGCTTTCTGAAAAACCCACACAAGCTTAAAAGTATTTCCAAAGAAATGTTGCCTAAGACTCTTCTTGAACAATTCACTCCTGAGTCAAAACAAACCATGGCAAATCAGCAAAGACACTTATTTCATAATGCAGTGAATGAATGCAGGAAGGTTTGCATGGATGCTGGGAACCAGAAGCCAATGAGCACAGGCTGTACACAATATATAGGCAAGTATAACCTGTACGCTACTATGAAGCCTTAAGGCACAATGTTAGAATGGCTTCAGAAGCACTTAGAACAAAGGCAGCCCACAAAAAGTCTCATTATCATGTAAAAGAGGCATTTATTCCAAGTGTCCTGGGATACAGAAAGCTAACCATGCTGGTGCTCTGAGAACTGAGGCAGACAGAAGTGGGAGGATTGTTGGAACCACTCTACAGAGTTACTAATAGAGGACAATGTGCCCATAATGCCATTAGGCTAATTTAGTTCCCACAACAAATTCTACTAATGGCAACATCTGTTTCATTATAATCATAAGCAGATAAGAGCATTGGTGGAAGACAAATTGCTTGTGAACACAAGGCAGGTCCTGCAGGAAGAAGGGAAAATACCCTGCAGTGTGGACATAGTGGCCACAAGTTCCAACAGGTTGGAAAGGCTGTGATTCCTGGGCAGAGCGTCAAGGCTGATCAGTGCTGACCCTTTTCACTGAAGATACAGCTATAGCAGCAAGTACCTCAGCCTTTTCCTCATCCTTTGTCACTATGTTTGCTTCGCATCCAAAAAAGGATGGAGATACTCCTCAGCCCTCCTTTTGTTGATAATAGATTTACAGAAACATTTTTATTGTCTTTTTTGGCAGTAGCCAGATCAAGTTCTGGTTGGGCTTTTTTTTTTCCCCTGAGTTCCAGCCAAAGTTCTGCATAATCCTCCCCGATGGCTCGTCTTCTGGCACATGGGGACAGCCTGCTCCTGCACCTTTAATATTTCCTTCTTGAAGAGTGTCCAGCCTTCCTGGACTCCTCTGTCCTTCAGGGCTGTCTCCCAAAGAACTCTGTCAACTGCCTCCCTGAACAGGCCAAAGTTTGTCCTCCAGAAGTCCAGGGTAGCAGTTCTGCTGACCCCCTTTCTTACTTGAAAACTCTGTGATTTTGTGATTGCTATGCCCAAGATGGCCTCCAACCATCATATCACCGACAATTCTATCTTTGTTCCTAAACAACAGGTCCAGCAGGGGACTCTCCCTGTTTGGCTTACTCACCAGCTGCATCAGGCAGTTATCTTCCACACACTCCAGAAGCCTCTTCAACTGTTTTCTCTGCTGTATTGTATTTCCAGCAGAAATGCAGTAAGTGGAAGTCTCCCATGAGAACAATGGCTAGTAATAGTGAGACTTCATCCAGCTGCTTATAGAATATTTCCTCTGCCTCTTCATTCTGGTTGGGTGGTCCTATAGCAGACTCCCACCACGATATCTGCCTTGTTGGCCTTCCCCCTGGTACTTACCCATAAACACTATTGCCACCATCATTAAGCTCTAGACAGTCAAACACTCCCTAACATACAGGGCCACCTCTCCTGTCACCTTTCTCTTATGAAGAGTTTGTAGTCATCCATTGCTGCACTCCAGCTGTGCGAGTCATCCCACCACGTTTCCATGATGGCAACTATATCATAGTGTTCCTGCTGCACAATGGTTTCCAGCTTCTCCTGTTTGTTGCCCCTGCTGCATGCATTGGTGTAGATGCACTTCAGTTGGGCTACTGATTCTGCCACCTATTCAGGAAGGAGAAGCTCTAATTCCTACATGACTATTCTCAGGCGTTTCCATGGTTTCTAAAACATCAATAACCCTTGTGGTTTTGCTGCTGCATGGATCTCTGTCTCCACTGAGATAGCAGACTAAAGGACCTCACTAACACATCATCCCACAAACACTGGCGTGCTGCCAGCAGGCTTCTCTCCAGCAAGCCTGGTTTTATCCCCTTCCCCCTTCAAATCTAGTTTAAATCTCTTTCAGTGAGCCTTGCTAACTCCTGTGCAAAGATCCTCTTCCCCCTGTGAGATAGGTGTACCCTGTCGCCAGCAGGCCTGGTGTAGTGTAAACTGACCCATTATCAAAAAACCCCAAATCCTGCTGGTGACATCAGGCTCAGAGCCAGGTATTGATCTGCTGGCTCTTCCTGTTTCTATATTCATCATTCCCTGCAACTTGAAGGACAGAGGAGAATACTGCTTATGCTCCTGATCCTTTAACCAGTTGTCTCAAGGTCCTGAAGTCTCTCTTCATCTCCCTTGGACTTCTTGTTGCAACTTCACCTCTGCCTACCTGAAAAATCAATAATATCATCTGAGGGCTGTACCAGGGTAGGAAGCTTTCTCTTCATATCTGTGACCTGGACTGCAGGGAGGCAGCAGATTTACCTAAGAAGTGGGCCCAGTCAGCAAATTAGACCTTCTGTTCCCTTCAGAGGGCAGTCTCCTATGACAATGACATGTCTATTTTTCTTTATGGAAGTGGTTTTGATGCAGGTGTAATACAGCAACATGCCTGAGTCTCACAGTGTCTGTCTTGCAGCTGGGATGTCTAGTGGCAACACTGGCAATTGTACCACGGTAGTTCTGCTAACAAGGATGATGACATAAACTTCAGCCATTAAAAAAGTACCAGTGTACCCCAAGTGGGCTTGCCCCAGCTACAGCTTCTCAACTCCTTCGTCCCAGATCAACACCACATATGTACCATGCTAAAATGCCACAGACTGCACCATGGAGACACACCTCAGAAACACTCAGCCTGGAATAAAATCTTGCCCTGCCCATGGGACTCTTCCTCACACTTGCAGCAAAGCATGGCAGCTGCATGCTCCCTGTAGCACGTGCTCTAGTCTTAGCAGGGTTTAAGGCCATTTTTCCCAATAGACTCACTCTGCTTTTGCCTGTTAGTCCTGTTGGCTGTGGCACTAACTGATACACTCACTCGATGTACACCTTGAAAAGAAAGGGCAGCAAGGTTAACTTGGCAGATCAGCCAGTCAGTGTGAAGCAGAGGACAGTGAGTAATAAAGCCAAGTACCACTGAGATTCACAGATCAGCAAACATAGAGCTTTACAATTTTCAGGCATTCTTATACCAAAAGGCACCAACCCAATTACTCTGTTATTGCTAGATGTTTCTGAACTTCTTTCTTGAAGTTAGCCATGTGCCATGGCTGCAAGCAAAGCCAACTCTTCTGCAGGGCTCCTGGATCACTTCCAGTCAAGAATCTGGACAGTAATATGTCAGAGAAAAGTCTCCAAATGCCTGCATCTCCTCTCCCCAACGACTTACTGACAATTTGGTTCTCCATCTGCTCCAGCACCAGGCTTTGCCTTTCTGCACCTAGTTGAATCCCTATGACCCTATCTAACATGAGCCTGGTGGGATCTGTACTCTGTTATTGAAAGCTGTCTTGTCTTTCCTCTCAGATGGGTAGCAGAGAAGGCCAGAAAGATTGTCCATACTTTAGGGCCATTGTTGTCACTCCAGAAGTGCCATTGGCTTGGTGCCTGTGCCACCCGTGAGTGTTCAGAGAAGCAGATTAGTGCAATTCTCCTACCTTTGTGTACGAGCTAGTGAGCAGGAA